ACAAGCAAACCGGAAAAGCCGCAGTCGATGCAATCAACGTATTCCATCCAGCGGTGCTTATTTTTAAATTTGTTTATCGCTTGTCAGGAAAAAAATCCATTCCGATAAGGCAAAAAGTGACCACTGGTATGACCTAGAAGAGATGGTGTTTGGTACATGGTGGTAACAGGGTCCAAGATCTTGACATTACTACATTCGGCCTCAGATTTAGTTTTGCTTTTACAAAAAATATTAAAAAAAGAATCAGTACATTGAGTATATGCTCGTATTTCCGCGGCCTGATAAGTTTCACACAAATGGTCTGGCTGTTTCTTCCGATATTTTTTAGTACCACTTACACCTTGTAGACTTATCGAGCAAGCACAATGAACAATGTGAACGAGGAGCACGACGAGCTGTCTTTAACGGCATTACGAACAATGGTGAAAACATACGGACAGATGCCACTACAGCTTTTCCACTCGCCACATCTCCCACACTTGACCGAGAAAGATCGCCATAATGCATCCAGTTTTTTAACAGTAAATTTTTGAAATTTTTTTTTGATTTTTCTACATTTAAAGTTAAAAGAAAAGTATAAGAATGATGAAGAAAAAGTATAAGAAAGGATGATGGAAAAAATAAGAAACGAAGTATGGAAAAATGAGAAGTATTAAAGTAGGTAAGAAATGTTTCGGTCCATTAAGTCGTATACATTTCTACAGATTTTTTTAAGGCTACAACCCCATTTCAACCCTTCTGAAACGACACAGAGTGTTGAAATTGGAATAGTTTTTACTTACTGTCTGTTGGAAAATTTTATTGTATGAAATTTATAAAAAAAAAAAAAAATATTCGTAACTGAAAAGGTACTCATTGATGAGATGCAGCAGTGGCAGTGTTCCGCAGAGGTGATGGCACTCAACACACATACACTAAAGACACTTCGAAAGGATTGAAAAGCCTTGCTGTGTGTTTTTGTGTTTGAAAGAATCGTTGAGTTGATAATCCCTTCATGAGACGTGGCGACCCGTCAGAATCGCCAGTAGGCTGACCACCAGATGATGCAGCATTGCTCAGAACAGCTGATAAATTTGCCTACAAAATGGAGAGCTAGTTTGTGCCTGTTCCAATTACACCATGTCTAACAATACTTCAATAAGCATTTGCGTGGGGCATAGCTGCAAAGTTAGTATGAAGAACATCTTCTCTATCTGAGGGCGATTTCATTTTGTTAAAAGTGGCGTGAGAATGATTTCACGCTATTAACAACAAAATTGGATGCAATTCTGGTTTGCCTAAGTTGGAATGAGTAAAGTGAATGGATCCTGTGAAGTGTTTTGTGAATAAAGAGTTTTAAAAAATAAGTTTCATTTTTAGCCCTAAAGGTTTAGGAAAGTTCGGGAATTTGATTTTTGTATATG